GTGTTGGGTTGCATTTTGTAACAGAACAGAGTCTGAGGGGCTGCTCACCATACTAGGATATGTGAATGTGTTTGAGTAAGAATAAACAGAGCATTAATTTGTTGAAATAGACCATATGAAGGTAAACAGCATGCATTTGCTTAGCAAATGTTACTTTTGTTATGTAGTCTATTTTTCGTTTTCACAAGCAGAGATTGATAAGGATGGTACATACATGTGAACCTCCTCCTGGATGTTGTACTGACTGAGCGGCGGGGCCCTCCCGCCCTAACACCCAGAACAGGAACGCATCCCTCCCTGGGTCCTCTGTGCGAAGAGTCAGGGGAGAGGAGAAGGTCGCTCCGTGTGTCGGGAAGGACCACAGTTCAGTCCCCGTCCGACCATCCAGGATCAACATCTACAACACAATAGAGAAAAAAACACATCAGCATGAAAGTTCATCTGACTTGGGAAAATAGATTTGTCTATCCAAAGGTTGGCTGACTACATGTAATCGTTTCTTTTTACACTGTACACAATCAAACCATAGACACTAGGTAAAACTGATCATAAAGTAATACCTCCCAAATAGCATCTCCACATGAATTTGTTTATTACCTTCGCCAAGAAGGTTATGTTTTCAGGGGCGTTCGTGTATGTGTGTGTGTGTGTGTGTGTGTCTGTAAACACGATAACTTGAGAAGGCCTTGATGGATTGTCTTGATACTTGGTAGGTGGGTAGGTCTTGATGAGACCTCAAAATGATTAGATTTTGGACCCCCTAGCGGCTTGTTATGGTACTGCAGCTGAACTTCCGGTTTTGATATCTCATGATCTAGACATGCTATGGTGATGAAATTTAGATGGTAGGTAGCTCTTGTGCTGAGAAAGAAGTGACGTGAGTTTAGGCCCCCTAGCGGCTTGCTCTGGAACTGCAGCGATATATTCTTGAAAATATTCAAAAGGGGATAACTCAAGAACCGGTTGACGGATCGTCGTGATTTTTGGTATGTAGGTAACGGCAGTGAACCTTAATCCGACGCAACCTTAATCCGACACTTTTCAACACTCCTCTGTCTGTTAGGATCTAGCACTGATATGCAAAATCTTTTAATTGCTTTACAAACTCAATAAGGTATACAGCATAAAAACTTGAAACAGTGAGCTAACGAAGTCAACATGTTGTGGAGACGAGGTCATGAAAATTTTCAGCCTGTTTTACACTGGTAGGCATGTCGTGGGAGGAAGCTTCCGGAAGGACAGTGGTCAAAACATCGACAATTTCTCCTTTACATCCTCATGCTATACATTCAACGTCACAGCGAATAAAAAAAACAATTAATAAGATGTGTGTTGCGGACAAACCACTTGCCTAGAAGTGTCCTTCTTTTTAAGCACAGAGCGAGTTCGTTATGGTCATTCAGCGGCCGATCGAACACGACCGCCATTTTGAATCCGAAATGTACTTGTTGTTGTTGTTGAAGACGATACCACTAGTCTGTACGTGGATGTGGCAAATCATCGCAACACTTGTATTATCGCCAAAATTAGTGACAAATACTTCGGAATAGTGCAGAATTAAGTTTTTTGACTGGTAACATTATTGTAAAATTCTTCAATTATTCCTTTCTTGGAACTAAGATGCCCCGCCGTAACTGATTCGAATGCGGTCCCCTTCTTTGTAAATTCAATAGTCCCAAGCCACGTGATTTGGTGTAGCGCTGCACCGCGGTGCACCGGCCTACCGACTTACTTTTGATGCCGTTGATAACTTGTATAAGTGTCTGTTGTTTGACAAAGGGATTGAGAAAAAAATGTTGTTGTGAATAGCAAAATTACAGGCAAACAGCTACACGGTTGCACGGCGTCGGATTAAGGTTTCGCTTAGAACAGAATACGCAGGGCACGGTGAAATTGGGAGCGATGTTGAAGACGCAATTTTCCCGCGATATCTCAATGGTTGGGAGAGTGACACACACGTAGGTATGGCGTTAAAAACAGGCTACAAGATGCACTAAATGATTAACGAAAATACCGAATGTCTGGTTGTGGATTCATCATTCAATCTTGCTTGTGCATAAAAGTGTCGGATTAAGGTTCACTGCCGTTAGCTTACGTGATGCTTAATATAATTATGTGACAATTATGCAAATATGGAGGTAATTTGCATAATTTATGGGGAAATTCTATAAATCAGCTGTATTCCATGATAGGACAATTAAAGCTTGTGACATTGGTAATTGACAACGAAAGAAACACAGGAAAATATTGATTATGTTAATAATGACCTAATTTGCATAATTAATGAGAAAATTTTTATAATTATGTAATGATAACTGCCTGGAATTTCATACTTGTGGTATTTGAAAGTTAAATTGAGGTGAACATCATTAAACATAATTTATTCAAATCAGGACCTCATTTGCATAATTTATGAGGAAATGCTAGAATGCATTGTTTGTTAGTATAAGACTGTTTTTTGGTTGAGATTATGATAAAATGATATAATTCATGATAATTAGGTTCCTATTTCTTAAATCAGGGGGGAATAATCTAATGTATAATTTGTCAGTCATAAAGATTAACATCATTTGGCGAAGGTATGAGATCGGGGAACTCTAGTTTTCTTCTGTCTTTACGTTTGGAACTTTCCTTTGGAATACTGCTTGCAATGCATGTAGTTCCTCTGTACCAGTAAGTCCCTGTTTTTCACAAGCACACGTTGAAATAGACAATGCCTGTTATCATCAAAGGTGAATTAAAGTGGATGCTTTTGCTGACAATCCTTGTCTAGAACATGTTGTGTTTGGCAGACCCACTTGGCTATTAAGAGGGAACGAATAATCAGTATTCTCCCCATAGGGGTGAAGGTCGAGACACCCCATCAGGGTGTCAACTTTCACACGATCTTGAAGCTGAACACAGTACGACAGACGTCTTTGATTCCACATTTGGCAGTCATTTCTGCTGAAGGGCACAGTTTCCCCCCAGGTTTTACAAGTACAAGTTTGAACAAGATTGTACCCACTTTGGGGTGCCTGTGACCCCCCATGACTAGAGGCAGTAAACTGAAGTGTGTTATGACTTCTGGCTCAACATTTGTGCTCCAGTCTGCCAGCAGAAATGTGGGTAACAGGTCGTGTCTGTACTTTTCCATTATCAAGCACTTCTAGGAAATTGTTCAAATCTGTATATGCCACTACCTTTGCCAAGATGGCTGGATTGGCATGAAGCTACTAGTAGTAGCTTGTCCCTGCTGCTCAACCAGGTAATCTTTACAGATTTGGTGCCAAACAGCTACCTTAGCAGGCTGAAGGTTAAAAAGTACATATGTAACTGAAAAGGTAATTGAAAAAAGCTATAAAAGGATTTATACAAAAAAAATGGAACAGAAGTTACATCAACCATTGCAAAATGATTTCAACTTACTACAGAGAAAAAAGTATTGCACAAATCTTGTCTCTGGTGAGAAACAGTGTTAGTAGTTAATAACTTACAGTAGTAATTTACAACCTAATACGAACAATGCACTCACCTGACTTGAGTTGTACTTGGGCCACCCCCCTTTGTTCAGTCTCACCATAATGTCAAGTGTGCTGTCATTGTTGAAGAATCCTGGCGCAAGAAGACTGGGCAAAAATTTAAAAATAGGAATAAAATGAATCATTTTTGACTTAGAGGCAACATATGAGGTGTTGTAGTGGAAAAAAACCCTGACACATTTTCTGAAATAATTAATAATGTCTGAAACTGTCCCCCATTCTTACTTTGAAATCCTCTCAAAAATGCAGAAAATGCCATTTCAAAAGGTTGAATTGCCCCCAGACCCCCTAGACAACTGGTCCCTTCAGTGCTCACTTGTCAAAAACTCTATGAAAAAAAATTAAAAAAAAAAAATTAATTATAGTTAACCCCGCCCCCTCCCCTGAACAACATCCTGGCTGTGGGCATGAACCCCATGCACTCCAGACAGTATTTTTCCCCAATGACAGAAACATAAAAACCTCATCACCAAACAACAAATGAATGAGTGAGTGAGTGAGTGAGTGAAGGAATGCATGTATCAAGGAATGAAGGAAGTGCAATACAAGAATAAATGAATGAACATTGATGTTACCTGTAGCTTTCAGTGCCAGGAAATGACTTCGTCCAAACTTCCTCCAGAGTCTCTCCATCGAGGACTGCGACTGTAGAGTCAAACACAGAGACTACAATGTCCCTGACACCGTCCCCTGTCAGGTCCAGTAGCACAGGTGGCAGTATCACACCTTTACTGGAGCTGCTCCTGGAACATTGTACAGAATTTCACCCAATTTACATGCGGGCAAAAACACGGTACAAAAACTGAGCATCCAACTTTAATATTCTGGACAGGGAATGTTAGACTAATCATTAGGCCATTGGCTTTTCCCTTGTTCCTTACCTATAGAGTTCATAGATGCCGTTGTTGTATCCATGGTTCCTCCAGGAAGAGTAGGATCCTGGGTAACCGCTGATCTTTTGCCGCCCAGTCAGGGACTGTCCCTTCACCCTCCTGTACAGGTCAGGTACAGAAATAGCCCACAGGGAACCTGCAATGTTAAAAACATCCCCGTAAATGTGTTGGAACTAAGCTCAAACTTTACAGCTACTAGTATCCCTGTAAAATGTTTTCATTGATGTCTGTGACTCACTGAAGTGTGTGATGGCTTTTTTTTACACAACCAAAACCTGACAACTTTTGGTTGTCCTTCTGCTACCTTCCTCGCGCATTCTCTTTTTAGCGAACGCCCACGAAAGCCCAAAAATTGTCGCACGAATCTTAAAATTTTTTGTGTGGTCATGTCCAGAGTGTGCTCGCGGGTGTCCATGCCAAGTTTGAAGCGAATCCATCGAGCCGAACTTAAATAAATCGAAATTTACTGGTTTTTTTCTCTTCTTGGCGAACGCCCACTTTACTTCCGGGTTCGCTGCGAACGCCCACTACTCTTTGCAAAATTTCGGCCCTCGCGCAACGCCGGCAAAATCCACCACCACAAATATGTTCCTATATGCCTCCCCTGAATTTCTGACAAGTTTCCGTGCTTTACGTGCTTTTAAAGTACCCATTTTTTTACAAAATATGCGCTGCGACGTGCTCGCCGCCTCGGCGTATACGTTTCACCTGGTCACATGACTTGCGGTCGGGGACTGTTCGATAATTTCATGATCAGCGGGAGGGAGGACAGGAAGGGCAGAAAAACGCAATCTACCGCACAAAAGGGGCAGAATTTCGTGTTTGTAAGATCAAACATAAATGATTTCCTTTCTTACATAATTTTCACCTCGGTTCTAGTAGTGACACCGCCGGCGACAATTACCATGTTGTAAAATTGTTCTGCTGAACTATAGACAGACGCAACGTTACAGTACGGAGGGGGCCCTAAATTTTTGTCGGCGCCGCTCGCCACGTTCGTTGTAAACCACGTCCGCGCTGATTGACCGCCCCATCAGTGAGCAACAAATGATCGAGGCGGAGAAGTTCGACCGGGCGGGGAATTTTAATGTGCTACCGTATTTAAAATTTGACACCGAACCCAAAACAACAACGAGACTGCTGAGACGCGAGCGAAAGAGTTTTTGAAAAATATCTCGTTTAGTAAACTACTGCTCATGTCACAAAATCAAAGGAATAAAAACTTTGCAGCATTGAATGCTTCTGGCCGCTTGCTTCCCACGTTGTGTTGTCAAGACGACGGCACGTCCTGGTCAGACAAAGCGGCGTCACGCCCACAGCAGCACGCACATGGGCCCCACCCACCGGCGGGCAGCAAAGGATTTCAAAGACTTCGCCCAAAAAACCCTATCATTGTAAGGCCATGCCTTGTACATCTACCCATCATTTTAACGTAATACTGGCTGGTATAGTCCCGCTACAAAATAATTTTCTGCGGCATTTGTTTATATTTAAATAGATTGTGATACGAAGTAAAATGATGTGTGTCACTTCAACCTTTGTAACGGCATGGCTATAACATTTGTTGAAGATTTCTGTGTTTAACTATAGCCGAAAAGTGCATCAGAACTGACCATCAGTTGAAGCGCAACTGTCATGTTATACTTGTAACGTTATTCACTACGTTACGACGACTTGCGGACCATTTTAAATCTTACCATCTTACCACTCATAAATCTATTTAATAGAATTGCGTTCATACTTACGGGGGTATTTATTTTCGGCCGGGGTTCCACTGAGATATCGGCGGCTGGCTGGCGACCATCCCGTCAGCATGACCGAGCACCGCGACGTGAGTGACCTACATTATCTTACCTTGCATCTTCTCGTTTTACCGCAACTTCGTGTCAATATCGACGATACACACATGAAATACGTTCATTTATTAAAGTTTAACTTTATTTTCACGCGTCAACATTATCATCCGACATTTTATGTACGAATCGATGTAGTGCAATTCTCCTTGCCGGTTTTCGCTATATTCGTCGGTAGTCGTTGGATTTGTCGGGGAAAACCTCAAATAAGGTACTTTTTGTATTTTGAAAAGTTTTCAAAAGTGCGTACTTTATTCGGCGGTGTCACTACTAGAACCGAGGTGAAAAATTATGTAAGAAAGGAAATCATTTATGTTTTGTGCGGTAGATTGCGTTTTTCTGCAACCCTTCCCCCTCCCGCTGATCATGAAATTACCGAACAGTCCCCGACCGCAAGTCATGTGACCAGGTGAAACGTATACGCCGAGGCGGCGAGCTCGTCGCAGCGCATATTTTGTAAAAAAGTAGGGTACTTTAAAAGCACGTAAAGCACGGAAACTTGTCAGAAATTCAGGGGGAGGCATATAGGAACATATTTGTGGTGGTGGATTTTGCCGGCGTTGCGCGAGGGCCGAAATTTTGCAAAGAGTAGTGGGCGTTCGCAGCGAACCCGGAAGTAAAGTGGGCGTTCGCCAAGAAGAGAAAAAACCCAGTAAATTTCGATTTATTTAAGTTCGGCTCGATGGATTCGCTTCAAACTTGGCATGGACACCCGCGAGCACACTCTGGACATGACCACACAAAAAAATTTTAAGATTCGTGCGACAATTTTTGGGCTTTCGTGGGCGTTCGCTAAAAAGAGAAAC